CGATCTCGGCTCACCGCAACCTCCGCCTCCTGGGTTCAGGCAATTCTCCTGCCTCAGCCTCCTGAGTAGCTGGGATTACAGGCATGTGCCACCATGCCCAGCTAATTTTTTTTTGTATTTTTAGTAGAGACGGGGTTTCACCATGTTGACCAGGATGGTCTCGATCTCTTGACCTCGTGATCCACCCGCCTCGGCCTCCCAAAGTGCTGGGATTACAGGCTTGAGCCACCACGCCCGGCTGTTATGGCTTTTTTATTTAATTTAATTTAATTTAATTTTTTTTTTTTTTTTTTTTTGAGGCGGAGTTTCGCTCTTGTTACCCAGGCTGGAGTGCAATGGCGCGATCTCGGCTCACCGCAACCTCCGCCTCCTGGGTTCAGGCAATTCTCCTGTCTCAGCCTCCTGAGTAGCTGGGATTACAGGCACGCACCACCATGCCCAGCTAACTTTTTGTATTTTTAGTAGAGACGAGGTTTCACCTTGCTGACCAGGATGGTCTTGATCTCTTGACTTCGTGATCCACCCGCCTCGGCCTCCCAAAGTGCTGGGATTACAGGCTTGAGCCACCGCGCCCGGCCTATTTAATTTTTTTTTTTTTGAGATGGAGTCTTGCTCTGTTGCCAGGCTGGAGTGCAGTGGCGTGATCTCGGCTCACTCCACCTCCCGGGTTCAAGCGATTCTCTTACCTCAGTAGGAGAATCCAAGTAGCTGGGATTACAGGCGTGCACCACCATGCCCAGCTACTTTTTATATGTACTTTTAGTAGACACGAGGTTTCACCATGTTGGTCAGGATGGTCTCAATCTCTTGACCTTGTGATCTGCCTGCCTCAGCCTCTCAAAGTGCTGGGATTAGAGGTGTGGTCTACCATGCCCAGCCTGTTTTTTTTTTTTTGTTTGTTTGTTTTGTTTTGTTTTTTGAGACAGTCTTACTCTGTCCCTCAGGCTGGAGTACAGTGGCATCATCTCAGCTCACTGCAACCTCCATCTCCTGGGTTCAAGTGATTCTCCTGCCTCAGCTTCCCAAGTAGCTGCTGGGATCACAGGTGTGTGCCACCACACCTGGCTAATTTTTGTATTTTTAGTAGAGACAGGGGTTTCACCATGTTGGCTAGGCTGCTCTGGAACTCCTGACCTCAAGTGATCTACCTGCCTCGGCCTCCAAAAGTACTGGGATTACAGGCATGAGCCACCGCGCCTGGCCATGTTATGGATTTAAATCACAATTTATTTTGACTAGAATAAATACATGAAGAAAAAAAAATAAAAAAATAGGATAGCTGGATTCATGTTGGGAACACTGTGGACCCCTGGGTGGTGACTGAGCAACCCCAGGCTTCTGGAAGTATTGGCAAAACCCGAGCTATCTGAAATAAGAAGAAGAAATTATTGCGCCGGGCGCGGTGGCTCAAGCCTGTAATCCCAGCACTTTGGGAGGCCGAGGCGGGTGGATCACGAGGTCGAGAGATCGAGACCATCCTGGTCAACATGGTGAAACTCCGTCTCTACTAAAAGTGCAAAAAATTAGCTGGGCATGGTGGCGCGTGCCTGTAATCCCAGCTACTCAGGAGGCTGAGGCAGGAGAATTGCCTGAGCCCAGGAGGCGGAGGTTGCGGTGAGCCAAGATAGCGCCATTGCACTCCAGCCTGGGTAACAAGGGCAAAACTCCGTCTCAAAAAAAAAAAAAAAAAAAAAAAAAAAAAAAATTATTGTTGATTTTTAACCTGTAAATTCTCTTAGAATTTGGTTTCCCTGAAATGAGTTATTTGCTTTGTGATGCTTGTTATTTACTCCATCAATTATATTTGAGAAAATGAAGAAGAATGTGAAAAGTTAAAATGTAGCTTGTAACTTTGGCTCTGCTGAAGCTGTAACTTCTAACTTTGGCTCTGCTGAAGCTGTAACTTGTAACTTTGGCTCTGCTGACCCTTTCTTGTAAAAACAGGAACTCTGTGAAAGGAACAAACCACACAGCCTGACTGCCGGAGAGAGATGCACGTAAGAAGCTTCTCATTGCAGAGAGCCTATAAAGGGACGTGTAATGGAAACGCTCATTACCCAGATTCCTTTCCCAGGAAAGGCATATTGATTATGGCCCTGGAAAGGGAAGGCAACCCTTATGGAGAGCCTGCAAACGGATGCATGAGGGGCGTCTGTCGTGAGGAAAAACCTCTGTGGTTGGGATGAGGATGGAAAAGTCTTTCTTCTCCCACTGCTCCTCCAGGCCTGCATGGAGCCCCCTCCTCTTGCAGCTTTGTGGTCAGGCTGGTTGTCCTGTGTCAGATCCTGTTCCCCCTGCAGCTGTGAGCCCAATATATTCTTGCTGATAATGATAAGTTTATGTTTAACCTCTATTCTTGCTAAGGTGTATGGTTTCTATGCTGACACACAGAAAGTTATCTTTACGTTGTTCTGCTTTTATAATACCGTGTTGCGAATTTTGTGCACCGGTTTTTGCAAATGTATTCTTTTTGTATGATCATTTCCACACTGTTATGTAGCCTCACTCCCCCTCCCCTATTGAAAGAGTCTAATAAAAAACTGTGGTTTTCAGGGGAATTTTAGACATCCACGGAGCAGCATTATGTGGTGTCTCCCCTGGACCAGCTTTAAGGAAAACTTTGTCTTTGTCTCTCTTTCTTTTTCACCGACCACTTGATCACTTTGAGAGATCTTGAATCCACGTTGATGTATTGGGAGCTGGTCTTCAGATAGATTCAAACTATGCCTTTTTTTTTTTTTTTGAGACCAAGTCTCCCTCTGTCGCCAGGCTGGAGTACAGTGGCGCCATCTCGGCTCATTGCAACCTCTGCCCTCCAGGTTCAAGTGATTCTCCTTGAATGAGGTTCAAGGGGAGAGACAGGTTTTCACCATGTTGGCCAGGATGGTCTCAATCTCTTGATCTTGTGATCCAACTGCCTCACCTTCCCAAAGTGCTGGGATTACAGGTGTGAGCCACCATGCCCAGTCCCAAATTATGCCTTTGTAAAAGAAACAAGTAAAATGTTCTTTGTCCCACATGGTCCAAGCCCTTACTGAGTTATAGAGAAAGCAGGGTAGCAATTTACATCTCAAAACACAGATAGAGAATTTAAGCTTTTCCAAGAAGGAGTTTAGGTATGTCATAGGAAGATTAAAAATGGTTGACAGGGGCCAGCCTCACGCCTGTAACCCCAGCACTTTTACAGGGTAAATCCCTTGAGTTATGTACTAAAAATACAAAAATTAGACTGGTGTGGTGGTGTGTGCCTGTAATCCCAGCACTTTGGGAGGCTGAGGCAGGAGAATTGCTTGAACCAGGGAGTTGGAGATTGCAGTGAGCCAAGATTGAGCCACTACACTTCAGCCTGGTGACAGAAAGAAAGAGACTCCATCTCAAAAAAAAAAAAAAATCCTGGCTAGGTGCAGTGGCTCACACCTGCAATCCCAGCACTTTGGGAAACTGAGGCGGGTGGATCATGAGGTCAGGAGTTCAAGATCAGCCTGGCCAAGATGGTGAAACTCCTTCTCTACTAAAAATACAAACATTAGCCGGGTGCGGTGGTGGGCACATGTAATTCCAACTGCTCAGGAGAACTGCTTGAACCCAGGAGGCGGAGGTTGCAGTCAGCTGAGATGATGCCACTGCACTCCAGCCTAGGCGACAGAGCAAGACTCCATCTCAAAAAAAAAAAAAAAATCCTACAATAAATTCCTATCATCATTTTGCGTTATCCTGTTATCCTTTTCTTCTTCTTTTTTTTTTTTTCTAGCAGGGTCTCATTCTGTCACCCAGGCTGGAATGCAGTGGCATAATCATGGCTCACTTCAGCCTTGACCTCCCAAGTCCTAGTGATCCTCCTCCTTCAGCCTTCTGAGTGTGTGGAACCAAGCTCAGCTAATTTTTAAATTTTTTGGTAGAGATGGAATCTTACTGTGTTGCCCAGGTCGGTCTCAAACTTCTGGCTTTAAGCAATCCTCCTGCCTCAGACTCCCAAAGTGCTGAGGTTTCAGGTGTGAGAAACCATGCCAGCTAACCATAAGATTTATAAGGATACCAATTTCATTTATTTGCTTTTGTTTTGTTTTTCCTTTTTGAGACTGAGTCTCGCTCTATTACCCAGGATGGAGTATAGTGGCAAAATGTCAGTTCACTGCAACTTCTCTCTCCCAGGTTCAAGCGATTCTCATGCCTCAGCCTCCCATGTAGCTGGGACTACAGGTGTGTGCCACCACGCCCAGCTAATTTTTGTATTTTAGTAGAGACAGGCTTTTGCCATGTTGCCCAGACTGATCTCCGACTCCTGGCTTCAAGCAATCCTCCTGCCTCAACCTCCCAAAGTGCTGAGGTTACAGGTATGAGACACCACGCCCAGCTAACATAAGATTTATAAGGATACCAATTTTATTTATTTGCTTTTGTTTGGTTTTTCTCTTCTGGGACTGAGTCTCACTTTACCACCCAGGATGGAGTATAGTGGTGCAATGTGAGCTCGCTGCAATTTCTGCCTCCCGGGTTCAAGCAATATTTGTGCCTCAGCTTCCCGAGTAGCTGGGATTACAGGTGTGCGCCACCATGCCCAGCTAATTTTTGTATTTTAGTAAAGACGAGGTTTCGCCACATTGGCCAGGCTGGTCTCAAAACTCCTGACCTCAAGTGATTTTCCTGCCTTAGCCTCCCAAAGTGCTGGGATTATGGGTGTGAGCCACCACTCCTGGCCCCAATTTAATTAGATAGCTTTTAGTTTAGTCTGTATTTTCCACCTGGACCACTGAGCTCAGGGCAGAGCCCATTAAGGAACAGGGCCAACAAAGCCTTTGCGGTTTGTAGGGCTTAATCATTTAAACATGTGAAAGGAAGGTGGCGTTGGAAGGCAGAGCATTTAGACCTTTAAAGGACAAGGAGATGGGAAGAGGAGCAAAAAAAAAAAAAAAAAAAGATCAAGGATTCCACTTTTACCTTGAATCCCAGGTCCCCAGAAAGAGGGAAACAGGTTCTTTTGCTGCCTGACCGCCACCATCATGTGTCGCCTGCAAGCTTCTGGGAAGTGCCTGTCCCGGTTGGCTTTGCCCTATCGCTGCCGCAGCGTCCCCACGTGGCTGAAGTTGACATCTGACGATGTGAAGGAGCAGATTTACAAACTGGCCAAGAAGGGCCTGACTCCTTCACAAATCGGTATGATCCTGAGAGATTCACATGGTGTTACACAAGTAGGTTTTGTGACAGGCAATAAAATCTTAATAATTCTTAAGTCTAAGAGACTTGCTCCTGATCTCCCTCAAGATCTCTACCATTTAATTAAAAAAGCAGTTGCTGGCCGGGTGCGGTGGCTCAAGCTTGTAATCCCAGCACTTTGGGAGGCCGAGGCGGGTGGATCACGAGGTCGAGAGATCGAGACCATCCTGGTCAACATGGTGAAACCCCGTCTCTACTAAAAACACAAAAAATTAGCTGGGCATGGTGGCACGTGCCTGTAATCCCAGCTACTCAGGAGGCTGAGGCAGGAGAATTGCCTGAACCCAGGAGGCGGAGGTTGCGGTGAGCCGAGATTGCGTCATTGCACTCCAGCCTGGGTAACAAGAGCGAAACCCCGTATCAAAAAAAAAAAAAAAAAAAAAAAGCAGTTGCTGTTCAAAAGCATCTTGAGAGGAACAGAAAGGATAAGAATGCTAAATTCCATCTGATTCTGATAGAGAGCTGGATTTACCGTTTGGCTAGATATTATAAGAGTAAGCGAGTCCTCCCTCCAAACTGGAAATATGAGTCATCTACAGCCTCTGTCCTGGTTGCAATAAAATGATTATTTAACTAAAAAAAAAAAAGGGAAACAGGTACAATACCTTCACTGTGCACTTCACTACAAAGACATATTTCTGAGAGTTTGAACCACACATTTCTAAACACTCAAGAAACAAGCAGCGCCTGTAGTAATAACTACTTACTGTAAACAACTGCCCTCAGCCACCTCCAAAACTTCAGTTCTCCATAGTCAACACAAGACACGCACCAAAAAAAAAAAAAAAGAAAGAAAAAGAAAAAAATAGGCCGGGTGTGGTGGCTCATGCCTGTAATCCAAGCACTTTGGAGGCCAAGGCGGGCGGAACACCTGAGGTCGGGAGTTCAAGACCAGCCTGACCAACATGGTGAAATCCCGTCTTTTTTTTACGCTTTTTTTTTTTTTTTTTGTCTTTTTGTTTTTTTCCTTTTTGTGGAGAATGGGGTCTCGCTATATTGCCCAGGCAGGTCTCGAACTCCTGGGATCAAGCTATCCTCCCGCCTCTGCCTCCCTGAGAGCTGGGATTATAGGCGTGAGCCACAGCGCCTGGCAACCCTGTCTTAAAAAAAAAAAAAAAGACACCCAGCAAGGTCAAATTCTCTTTCACAAACAAAGTAATCTTTGGTACCGCCAAAAGCCAAGACATCAGGTAATGCAATACAAAGAAGAGTAGAGTTTTCGACCTGAGAGGAATCTGTCCATGACTCTGACTCTGTAAACTCCACAGGAAGACAGAAGGCCCTAAAAAGGGGTCATTGGCACCTTCTTCTGTTTTCCTGAAGAGGTGTTGGCCAGGTTGGAGTACAATGCTGCGATCTTGGCTCACTGCAGCCTCCGCCTCCTGGGTTCAGGCGATTCTCCTGCTTCAGCCTCCTGAGTAGCTGGATTCGTAGATTTTTTTGTGTGCTTTTTTTTAGTTTATTGGCTATCATTAGTTTATTTTACCTGTGGCCCAAGACAATTCTTCTTCTTCCAGTGTAGCCCAGACAGAGACCAAGCCCTTATTCTTTTCTTTTTTTTTTTTTTTTTAAAGACGGAGTTTCACCATGTTGGTCAGGCTGGTCTTGAACTCCCAACCTCAGGTGATCCGCCCGCCTTGGCCTCCAAAGTGCTTGGATTACAGGCATGAGCCACTATGCCCAGCCCAGCCCTTATTCTTAAAGAGAGGGTTTGAGACCGGGTGCAGTGGTTCACACCTGTAATCCTAGGATTTAGGGAGGCTGAGGCGGGTGGATCACAAGGTCAGGAGATTGAGACCAGCCTGACAAACATGGTGAAACCCTGTCTCTACTAAAAATACAAAAATTAGGCTGGGTGTGGTGGCTCACGCCTGTAATCCCAGCACTTTGGGAGGCTGAGTCGGGGAGCGGGTGGGATCGCTAGGTCGGGAGTTCAAGACTAGCCTGATCAAAATGGTGAAACCCTGTCTCTAAAAATACAAAAATTAGCTGGGTGTGGTGGTGGGCGCCTGTAGTCTCAGCTACTCGGGAGGCTGAGGCAGGAGAATTGCTTGACCCCAGGAGTAGGAGTTTGCAATTAGCAGAAATCGAGCCATTGCATTCCAGCTTGGGTGACAGAGCAAGACTTTGACTCAAAAAAAAAAAAAAAAAAAAAATTAGCCAGGCATGGTGGCACATACCTGTAATCCCAGCCACTCAGGAGGCTGAGGCAGGAGAATCATTTGAACCCAGGAGGCAGAGGTTGCAATGAGCTGAGATCGCACCACTGCACTCCAGCCTGGGTAACAGAGTGAGACTCCATCTCAAAAAAAGAGATGGTTTGAAAAAACAGCCCATGGCTGGGCATGGTGGCTCATGCCTGTAATCCCAGCACTTTGAAAGGCTGAGGTGGGCAGATTACCTGAGGTCAGGAGTTTGCAACCAGCCTGGCCAACATGGCAAAACCCCATCTTTACTAAAAACACAAAAATTAGTTGGGTGTGGTGGCACATGTCTGTAATCCCAGCTACTCGGGAGGCTGAGGCAGGTGAATTGCTTGAACCGGGGAAGGAGGAGGTTGCAGTGAGCTGAGATCGTGCCACTGCACTCCAGCCTGGGCGACAAAGTGAGACTCCATCTCAAAAACAAAATGCTAAGAAAGCTTATGAATTTGTGTTGGGCTGCATTCAAAGCTGTCCTGGGCCACATGCAGCCTGTGGGCCTCAAGTGGAACAGCTTGTTCTAGCTTCTTGGGATGCTTGGGACAGGAGGATTGCTGCAAACTCTGCCTCCCAGGCCCAAGCAATCCTCCCACATCAGCCTCCCAAGTAGGGGGATTACAAGTACATGCCACCACACCTGGCTAATTTTTGTATTTTTTGTAGAGACCAGGTTTCGCCATGGTGCCCAGGCTTGTCTTGAACACCTAGACTCCAGTGACCTACCACCTGCCTCAGCCTCCCAAAGTGCGGGGATTACAGGCTGAACCACCATGCCCAGCCTAAAGTCTAGACTCCCAACTAAAGACTGAGAGGTGCAATTTGGGGAGAGCTAACCTGAAACACCTGATGGAACATTTGAAGGCAGAATGTTCCTGCTGGTTCTAAGTGCTGTTTTCAGAGAGAAACACTGGGTGAGTGGGGAGGGGAGTAGGGGTAGTCACTCTGAATCCTGCCAACTATGCCAGATATGTTGACCTAAGAGGAAGAAGCTGAGACAAAATTAATCTAAGTGGAGTTTATTTGGGCTGACATTGAGGATTGCAACCCGTCAGCATAGACTCAAGTTAGCCTGAATATATACCCCAATTAACAATTACAAGTGTATTTTTTTTTTGAGGCAGAGTCTCCCTCTGTCACCAGGCTGGAGTGCAGTGGCACTTGGAGTGCAGTGGATTTTTTTTTTTTTTTTAATGGCCAGGAGCAGTGGTTCACACCTGTAATCTCAGCACTTTGGGAGGCTGAGGCAGGAGACTCACTTGAGCCAAGTTTGAGACCAGCCTGGGCAACACAGTGAGATAGCATTCCCCACAAAAATAAATAAATAAATAATTTTTTTTTTTTTTTTTTTTTTTTTTTTGAGACAGAGTTTCGCTCTTGTTACCCAGGCTGGAGTGCAATGGCGCGATCTCGGCTCACCGCAACCTCCGCCTCCTGGGGTCAGGCAATTCTCCTGCCTCAACCTCCTGAGTAGCTGGAATTACAGGCACGCGCCACCATGCCCAGCTAATTTCTTGTATTTTTAGTAGAGACGGGGTTTCACCATGTTGACCCGGATGGTCTCGATCTCTTGACCTCGTGATCCACCCTCCTCGGCCTCCCAAAGTGCTGGGATTACAGGCTTGAGCCACCGCGCCCGGCCAATAAATAAAAATTTTTAAAAAATTGGCCAGGCATAGTGGTAGATGTCATAGTCCCAGCTACTCAGGAGGCTGAGGTGGGATGATAACTTGGGCACAGGAGTTTGAGGTTATAGTGAACTATGATCAGGCCACTGAACTCCAACCTGGCTGAAAAAGACCCTATCTCAAAAGAAAAAAAAAAAGAAAGAAAGAAAACAGACATTCAAACAAATATAAATATTTTTCACTGTAGCACAATTCACCATAGCCAAAAGGTGGAAACAACCCAAATGTCCCTCTATGGATGAATGGGTAAACAATTTGTGTAGGCCAGGTGCTCATGGCTATAATCCCAGCACTTCGTGAGGCCGAGGTGGTGGGATTGCTTGAAGCTGGGAGTTCAAGACCAGCCTAGGCACCAAAGCAGGACCACATCTCTACGAAAAAAAAAAAAATTAGCTGGATATGCTGGCATGTGCCTGTAGTGCCAGATACTTGAGAGGCTGAGGCAGAAGGATGACTTGAGCCCAGGAATTCAAGGCTGCAGTGAGCTATGATTGCACTACTGCATTCCAGGCTGGATGACAGAGCAAGACCCATATCCCATCTTAAAAAAAAAAAAAAAAAAAAAAAAAAGCACAATTTGTGGTATTGCATCTAATGGAATGTTATTCAGTAATAAAAAGGAATGAAGTACTAACTCATGCTACAACATATATAAACCTTGAAAACATTATGTTAAGTTGAAAGAAGCCAAGCACAAAAGGTTACATGTTGTATCATTCCATTTATATAAATCCAGAATAAGTAAATCCATAGAAATAGGAAGACTGGTGTTTGCCAGAGGCTAGAAGTAGGGGGAGATAGAGAGTAACTGTCTAACAGATACAGGGTTTTGCCGGGCATGGTGGCTCATGCCTGTAATCCCAGCACTTTGGGAGCCGGAGGCGGGTGGATCAGGAGGTCAAGAGATCGAGACCATCCTGGTCAATATGGTGAAACCCCGTGTCTACTAAAAATACATAAAAGTAGCTGGACATGGTGGCACATGCCTGTAATCCGAGCTACTCAGGAGGCTGAGGCAGGAGAATTGCCTGAACCCAGGAGGCGGAGGTCGCGGTGAGCCGAGATTGCACCATTGCACTCCAGCCTGGGTAACAAGAGCGAAACCCCGTCTCAAAAAAAAAAAAAAAAAAAAAAAAAGATATAGGGTTTTATTTTGGGATGATAAAAATGTTTTGGGCTGGGCGCAGTGGCTCATGCCTGTGATCCTACACTTTGGGAGGCTGAGGCAGGCAGATCACCTGAGGTCAGGAGTTTGAGACCAGCCTGGCAAATATGGCGAAACACATTCTCTATGAAAAATACAAAAATTACCTGGGCTTCGTGGTGCTTCAGGCCTATGTTAACTCTCTGGCCCTCTATCATAAAACAATCTGAGGCTGGGCTTGGTGGCTTACACCTGTAATCCCAGCACTTTGGGAGGCCGAGGTGAGCACATCACAAGGTCAAGAGATTGAGACCATCCTGGCCAACATGGTGAAACGCCATCTCTTCTAAAATATAAAAATTAGCTGGGCGTGGTTGTGCGTACCTGTAGTCCCAGCTACTCAGGAGGCTGAGGCAGGAGAATTGCTTGAATTCACAAGGTAGAGGTTGCAATGACCCAAGATTGTGCCACACTGCACTCCAGCTGGAGAAAGGGTAAGATTCTGTCTCAAAAACAAAAAACAAAAAACAAAAAC